ACCAAATTGACTCCTGACTTCTCTGCTTCAAAAAATTGTACTAAAATGAAATGGAGGCAGTCCCTATTAAACCTGATGGTTTCCCTTTTTCTTTTAATCTTACAGTCTGCTGTGCACAAATCATTTGTTATTTAAGTCTGTCTTTCATCACCAGTATTTATATTCCTGGTTACCTTGAAATTCTTATTAGCACATGGAAAACTTTTAAGTTTAAGATGCTTTGTGAAGGGAAATATTTATTCAAAAAAATTGGGGTAATTTAAAATATTTGTCTCTATTTGAGACTGCATCTGTTTATTCAACTCGTGTAATCACAGGTTCCTCTACAATCACAAGGATTTTTTCCAGCACTTCAGATATAAAGCAGTGAATTTTTGAAACATTCTAGCACGATGTACACAGAGTATCTGATTTCTTAGACCGAATGTTCCAATTGAGATTAAATGGAAGCCTCCTTAAAAGTTGTTTGCATAAAATATGCCCCTAGGCTTTAATTATTTCTTTTCTATATTTTAGTGCTTTAGATAGAGATGTTATGAAATGTGAGATGTCGTACAAGTAACAGCGAACCAAAAAGAATGAAGCTGGCTCTTTTCAGTGTCGCTCCTGTTTCTGTAGTCCTGTGACTAAAACTTACAGGTCTGTCACAGATGTGTTTCACAGGACTACCATTGCTGGTCCTAACTTGAACTAAGTGATTCCATTCCCTGTTAGGAAATAAGAAAATGTGGTAACTTGTTTTATTCAGAATGAAAAGCAGGTAGGCCTAACTGGAAAATGCACTAAAATATCTTCAGCTTTCTGTGTTGAGCATTGATGAGAAAGGCAGTCCTATGTCATTAAGGTACACAGTAGTTTTTCCAGTCAGTAAAATCCAGCTTAAGAAGGATTTTTGGGAAAGGTTCCTAACCACTTACAGGAGTTATTACAGTAAATTGGATAGGCACTATGCCTGATTAAACATATTCCTATGTACGTATTTACTTTGAAACACAAAGCCATTCCAAAGTTCACTTTGCTTGATTAAGACCTGTAGAGATCCCATAAAGTCAGTAGCGTCAAACTGCATCCGTCCTCGCGTTTGATGGTTTTGAAGGTCCTCAGAGACCTTCAGCTAATGTGTCGTAAGGTGTTCTTTTGTTAGCTAATCAGGAATGATACAGTGGAGCACTGCACAAGTCCTCTGCAGTTTGAGTTAGGGCACCGCTTCTCACTTTGTGCTCTGAGCTGCTGGAACACAGCCGTGCAGTGACAGAGCTGCTGCGTGCTGCTTGGTTTCACAGCTCTGAACAAATGATTGTTGTGTAAAGTAAAGCCTAATTGATATATGTTTCTAATGTCCTGCAACCCTTATAGTGGGTAATACTTCAGCTGTGAGTAAGACATGGAAAAAGGTACTATACCCAATTGAAATTCCTGGAAACAGGCCGAGAAGAGTAACGTAAGTTACTGTTTTATTTGTACTCTGATGGCAAATAGCCTTCGGAACAAACTCACACTGTGGTAATTTTCTCTTCAGCTTTTCTAAGATAATTAATAATATGAACAGAAGATGGAAAAATTCAATTTCCTTGATATATATTTATTGCATACTGAGATACTGCTCATGTGCGCTGTTAGGACACACAGTATTTCCAGAGTTGCAAAGAAGGAGCAAATTGCACAAAACTCTAGCTAGGTGTTCATTGTACAAATCTAAGACATTTCTTTTTACTTGTGTTGTTGGAATTCCTAGTTGATTTTTTAGTTCTAATCGTGTTAAGTCTTCTTTTCCTGTTTCTTGTTCTGTTTTGTTTTCTGTCTGATGCAAACGTCGTGACATTGTACTGTTTTGCATCTCCAAGTCACTCGGTTACTGTGTTTCTCATCCCTAGAGAGGGGTCCTAGCAAACAGGCCCAATGTAACCAAAAACATCCTGTCTATCTCAGTGTTTTGACGGTCGTGTCAAATGTAGGTGCAGGGCAACAAAAGCCCAGTTGGTACTTCTGAGGAAGAGAAACAGAGAAGTGGAACCAACAGAAAAATGGAACAGAAATGCTCCATTTATAAGCAGAAAGGCTGAACTATTTGTTCAGTGTTGAGGTCTGTACCAGTGAGGCTAGGAGAGGAGCAGAGCTATCTGTTGCCTGATAGTAAATATTTTTAATATAAAGCAAGCATTGCTTAAAGAGTCCTTCCACGTTAAAATTTCTCCTAAGTAAGGATTAAATGCTGAGGGCATTTTTTAGAGGTGAAATGGTGAAGACAATTCCCCTAGCAGATAGATCAAAATCATCTTTTCAGATGTATTTAAATATTATGGCATCTGGCTACGTGTGCAGGATTGTTCTTCACCATGTAGGCAGGTAAAAAAGGAACAGAAAAAATGTTCATCTGAAAACAATCTTATTTCTTTAGCTTTTATTAGCTACTTGTGTATTTGGTACATATAAAAATTGGGAAACGGAATGATATTATTCATGAGGCTTCTATAAAAGATGCAGAATGGATACCTAGGACTTTAGAATTAGATATGTTTATAAAATACATTTTGTGTATTGAAACATTCATCTTCTATCCTGATCTGCCAAAACAACTCAGCATGCACAAACACTCACATAACTCAGAACGTGCTGTTCGTGTATTTTAATTTGTTTTACATATGTTACCTTCATGAGAGAATATTGGATCTGTGTGCTGCACACTTATTTCAATCCTTTATATTTGTGCATATATTTGAACCCCATATATTCCATCTCTAATAATAATGTGAGGTACATTTGCTTTAATATTCAAATATCCATTAATTTTTGTCACTGAATTGTACTGTGAGAAGCACACAGTGTATGTTGTCAATGTTTTTTCCATTCTGAACTACCCCAGTATGCTTTTTGAAAAATCCTCTTCTTTTCAGCTCTTCCTTTTGATTTTCCTTTAGGACAGCTGAAATGTTTGGAATCTGTAGTCCAAAACCGTGCAGAATGGTGCTGTTTGTTGGAATCCATGCAATTAATACTTCAGGAAGATCAGCTCAAATTATAACACATTTGTCAATATAGTTCTTTCCATCTTGTAGGGATTCCAGAATTCTGTATTAAACTAAGGGATAGCTGCTTGCAGAGCATACTAATCTGTGAGTAGTAATGAAGGAAAATGTGTACTTACACTAACGCTCATATTTATTCCTCTGACAGAGACAACCTGCACACTTATACAGGAACTGCATTTGCATACCTGAAAGTTAATTGCTAAATCATAAATTCTATACAGACATCAATATCTGATGAACAGCAAGTAATTATATTGTAATAATGCCTGAGAAAAAAATGGCATATGCTGCCCTGAGAATTATGAATAATAAAGCTCTACAAAGGAAAGATTCATAGATAATTCAGGTTGGAAGGGATATCAGCAGGTCATATGGTCCAACCTCTTCCTCAAATGGCATTATAGGATTAGTTCACATCAGACCTCACCCAGGCCCTGTTTTTAAGGCAGATAGACTACAACCTCCTTCACTGTCTATTAGACAGGGGCTGCAGCTAAGCATCTACAGAGGCACACTGAGCAATGCAAGTACTTCACAATATTTGCTTTTTGTCACTGTAGTGCCTTTCTTGTGTCTGCACGTACGTGTGCACACGCACCCTTCCCTCTGTCACGGCTTCATGGGTTTTCATTGGTATTGTACATCATAACATTGTGCAGTCCATGTCCAGTTGTAAGCAGGATTAGAAATATTCTTGTAAACTACTCTTAAGTAGTACTAGCATGAGAGAAGCAGTTCTGTTTGGTCACTGAATGCTGGCTGGGCTTAATAGTGCACTTTGGTTCATTTCTAATCCTCCTCTGTATATTTGTAAAGCTATTTGTATATTCTGGGTGTTATGGAGAAAGAAATTCAATTTGTATTTGGAGCAGAAAGTGGATATGTGATTTTTCTATATGTAAGTTCTTATATATAGAGTGAAGGAATTTATTTCATAATTTTGAGTTGGCAGCTTAAGATCTCTACCTCCTACACAGATAAGATGAGCTTTTGTCAGCTTAGCAGAGCTCTCAACCCCAGTTTCCATCCCTGTACCTTAGGCATTTTAAATATCCTGAGCCTACCAGATAAGAAGTAAGGCCTTGAACATGGTTTTAAATTTCTTTAAGAAGCCACTGGTGAGAGAATTAAAATAATATTTGATGTGCCTGTTCTTGTTAAGAGGAAACGCTTCAGCATTCAACTAGCTGAATTTGGTGTAAGCCCATACATATTGTGTTGCTGTAGTCAAGGCAAGTATAAGGGAGGTCAAATTCTTGTTATGAAATGGAGTGTTACAGTCCCTCAGAAGTGATTGATAGCACAGCTCTTATATGCCCTGTGTGTAGAATTTCTGAAGTGTATCAACGTATTTTGAAGTTAATGACTGAACTGAGAACTGTGTCTTCCCTGGAAATGCAAAATTGTGTTAGATCTGAAATATTAGCTTAGTTTAATAGGAATGTGTAAAAACGTTTGGAAGCTGAAAAGTTGATGCCAGTGGTAAATGACTGGAATGGTTACATCCAAAATTTTCTTCTGTGTTGCATGGTCAGACTAATGCCAGGCTAATGAAAGGAGATCGCAGCGTCTGAGTAACCCACTGCCATTCAGACAGAAGCATTGGTTATCCGTGACTCTTTCAGGATGCAGGAAAAGCTGTAAAACCACCACAGCATTTTATAAGCACCTTTTACCACAATCTGTTGTTTTTACCATGCTTGCTAGTCAGTTACCACGTAGGAATAGCTGAAAGCACATCCTTGTCTGAAGAGCTACCAGTGTGGTCATTTTTAAGTATTATATTAAGGGCCAAGGTACAGCAGACTGCTGTGAACACTGAGGCTGTACATTAGCTGATTGAAATCCATGACATTCTTTTGGATTTGTCAGAGTTTTGCTAGTATGGAGCAATTATGTCCTAGCCCTCAGCTCAAACAGTTGAGAAGGATGAAGAGTCAATCCAGTCAGTGAAGGATTCAGTCCCTCGTAAGATTTAATGGCTGCTTTAATTACATGATAGTCATAGTTTTTCGCAGGCAGATACACTTCTCCATATTTGCAGTATTCCTGTAACAGGCCTGGTCTGTTGTAGCAGCTCTCTTGTCCTTCCCAGCTCACCATTTGGTGGTTTTGTTGTTCTCACTGTTTCTCTCTGTGCATTTCTTCAGAAGGCACTGGAGTTTGTTTGCTTGCCTTGTTATCACTTTGTGCTGTGCCATCATTGTTTGCACTACACAAGAAATAATTCTATTGTTGCCAAAACTGATGTAAGAGACCTCGATTCAGGTGTGCGTGAGCACAGCAGAGGACAAGGTTTCCTGCTTAATTACAAACATCCTGGAGTTTTAATTCTACATCAAGCCTGAAGAATTACTTTAATGTAGTTACATTTCATGTATCTCACCAGAAATTGTCTGATTTAACCTCATTTGGCACTTAAATTCCCTGCAGTTTGCTGCAACAAATGGCAACACTGCTTCAAGTATATTCTGAGAGGTAAAGCCAGTGATTGTGAGTCTCATTTAAAATTTCAAGCAGAAGAAATGCTGGATGGCATTTCTGTCTTGAGAAAAGCTAGCCAGTGACAATGTGATCTCCCCTGCTGACTCATCGAGGCATTCAGAGAGAAAAATTGGATGTGCATCACTGGAGGGTTTTCAGTCAAATGAGAGAGCTGGGAGTACAGAGCCTTGGGAGTAGCAAGCAGTCCTGCCTTTTTCAGGGCTGATCTTGCACTTTTTATGTCAACGGTGTCTTAGATTTTAAATGTTTGAAATGAAGACCTACCTCAGTATAACTTTCTCATGTATACTGGGATTTTAGAAGTTCCTATCTGAGCAGCTGAAGTGTAGGACTTACCTCTAGTGTTCCACAGTCTGCGTTCCCAGCGTCATCCAGTTGTGTTCCCATTTGGATGAACATGGTGCAGCACCATCTCCACTGGCAAGCTTACTCAGGTTGGGAGTGCAGAATGAAGCAAGAGCTCCTTTGTTGTTGTCCACAGGCTTTTGTTGAAGTCTGTATAAAGGAGCACAAAACGAGAAAAAACCTGTAAACTCACAGCTTGTTTTTCTTCAGGGCTCGAATATTACAGATGCTTCAGTAAGCTGAGTGCGATTCTGAGTTCGTACTTTTTTATTATCTATTAAAAATAGCAATATTACACATTTGTGTGATTTCCTAACTGAAGCGAGAAAAAAATAGATCACTGTGCTGGATTTATAAATCTCAGTTAGCCAAGTGAGTGTTTGAAACCTAATGCCTGGCATCTGCTGGTCAGTATCTCTTGTCCTTTTGCTGGGTACAGTTATCATTTAAGCATCACGTTGCACGTTTTTTCTCTTGGCCTATCGCTGGGACATGGGAGGGTCGGATGGGTGAAGGTAATTGGAAAAGAACACAGCTTTGTGTACCACTGTAGATGAGGTTTTCTAAGTCTTGTATATTTATATGTAAAAATATACCAACACATTGCCAAAACATTTATTCGTAAAAGTTCCATGACCTGTACAAATACATGGTTGCCGTATATTTAAAATAATTTTAAAAATCTAACTACTAAAAAAGTTGAAATGTATAAAAACTATACAAATACGTGGCTGCCACATACTTGAAATAGAAAGCAAATCACACTGTGTGCAAGGGAGTTGAGTAGCAATTACTATGTGAATCCTGACTTTTACAAATGAATGACTCAAATTCCCTGCCATTGCACTGTGATTAATGTAGGGATTTTAGTTATTACATTTTAATTAGGTTATCCGTTCTTTTAAATATGAGGTCAACGTTTTGCTTGTTGCTCTTCAATTGACTGAATTTACACATCCTGTCAGTTTTGTCACTTTATCATTACAGTGCCAATAAACTATTCATATTGATGTTATTTTAGAGATAAGCCCAGATTGAGAAGGATTCTTTCTCTAGAAACAATATTATGTTTTACAAAGGATGATACCAGCCCTTCTACCCTGTATCAGAAACATTAATACAATAAAAGATTATGGTTTTGGTACTGGTTTTATGAATGCAATTTCATACCGAGTTATATTCTAAATGGATTCTGTTACAGTAAGATTAATTTGAAAGACCTCTCTATCTTAAGTACAAATTTTACTGCATATTTATGTATCTTTTTATTGGATATATGAAGATGAATTGAATATGAATTTTGTCTGAAAAGTGTGCACTATATGATTTGAATATTCTGCTAGAGTCTCATTTTAGTCCAGAATCTCAGCAAATAATCTGCTCAGGCTATAGACAAAACTATGCACCTGTTCTGTAGCTTTTGGGCTGCAGCAGTGTCTTTGCACACGCCCATGTGTTTTGTGTAACTGCCTGGATTGTGCTGGTACATCTGCGAGACTGCCTGCAAGTGGCTGCTGATAAAGCCACCATGTGTTTCTGTGCAGAACATGGAGCAGCCTCTGTGTTGTAGTTAGCATTCCTGGGGCATGCAGCAGCACCCATGCCTCCCTGCCCACAGTCAGGTGCTGGGGGAGCCGTGGGGGCAGGATCCTCTGAGCACCCCACACTTGCACGGGCCCGATCTGCACTCCAGGCTGCAGCAGGGCACTTGGCATCTTAGCATTGCAGGAGCTTCTCCACCTTGAAACTGTTCGGCCTGCCTTCAGTGCAGACTCCATTCCTTTCTGAAACTCTGTCTCGTGTATTCCTGGTCCAAATTCTTGGGTTCACTGAAGCTATTTGTGTGTACTCAAGATTCAGAGCAGACCTGGATTTTTTTGTTATTCATCTGTCTGGCAGTGAAGCACAAATATGCTGCCCTCTTTTCCCTGCCCAGCTGTTAGTTTGGGGTGGTTGCTCCAGAATTCAGTGGTAGTTGGAGAACTCCTTCCATACATGCCAGGAGGAGACCTCATGGGGATCTTCCCCCAAGTAGTGGGAGCCCTTCTGCCAGAGACAGAGAGAAGTTGGATCAAAAGGAATGGGCTGCTATTTATATATCAAATTTTTGTGATCCGTATTGCAATGTGAAATTCCCTCTATCTTTATTTTTTATTTCTCTTCAGAAAGATGCCAGTGACTTCTTGAGAGGTTTGTTTTTTAGTACCAGTGGTTCCCCTTTTTGTGAGGTTTACTTCTCTTTTAAGGACATGCATCTTTTTCTCTCATTTTCCCATTCTGCCTTCAAACCAAGGTGTTCTCCAAGTTACTACCTTTACAAGCAAAATAAATAACATAGATATGTAGTAAGTTGATGCAATTTTAAAGGAAATTTTGTTATAACATACATTTCCCAGAAAACTTACTTAGCATTGTAATTGCTCTGTAAGTATTGGCATGGAAGAAATCGTGATTTAGAGTTATTGAAACTTACTTATTGACCTTCCATTTTTTTCATCCTTATCAATAAAAAAAAAAAAAAAAAATGTAGCTTGGCCATTCTTCTTCATTTGTAACTTAGCTGGGCAGTGCAGTCAGGCTTTTTGTTCCACTGAAAGGCTGGGTTAATTCCTAACAGCTTGCCAATCTGTGCAACTGTCCTGCTTTGAAGACCTGAGCTGGTCCTCTGCAGGCTCTGGAGGCTGTTCTGGAACAGTCCAAACTCAATCAGGAGCTTCACTTCTCACTCAACCAATAGTAAATTGGTGTTGGCATGTGTTAAGTTACATATTTTGGATTTGAGCTTATATTTGTTGAAATATAATGATGTAGAAAATAACTTGTGTGCTCCTACCATAATGCTACGTGTCATTTTTATTTTATGTCCTTTCTTTGGCTTGAGCTGAGCCCCCTAGGTTTTGGAACTGAAGGATTAAAAATAACAATAGCAAAATAAAAGCTGTGGATTTTTTTCAGTGTTGCTAGGTACCTCATTATGTGTACCTCATTTATTATTTGCTAGATAGCCGTAGGTCAGCAGCAACACACTGAAGGAATGAACAGAAAAGTATGAAAACAGTGATAGCCCTCTAAAATACAAATTAAACTGTTACCATTGTTGTTTTTTTCTAATTTCTCTGTATTCTGTAGATACTGTCTCAGAGCACCTTCATTTACTGCAGGTCTGCATTTAACAACCATAACAAGGAGGAGGATTTAAGTGAAATTTAAGTGTTTCCCTTAGAAACTGGTGTAATGGAAACTGTGTGACAGACAACCCTGGGCTGAGCACACAGTCCTCACTGCAAGGCATCTATACCCATAGGACTGCCTGGTCCAGCATCCATGCAAGTCAATGGAAAGACTCCATTGCCTGCCAAAGGGCTTTGGATAAAGACGTAGAGAATGGAGTTAGACAAAGATAAATGAGAAGTGTTGTGTTTCAGACTAATAGCTGTACTGTATGTGCACTAAATGGGGAGAGGTACAGGCAACCCATTCCCTCCATTAGTTATCAATTAGAGGAGGCATCCATGCCTGATAGCTTTCAGACAAAACAAATCAGATGTAGCCTCCTGATTTACGTGTAATTTTCTGTGTACAAACTGGGTAGAGAGTAAAATCATGTCTACTACTGTATGTGATTATTAGGTGCAAGGGAACATTTTTACCTTTTTCCTCTCTCTGCTGTTTCTCATTTTCCTTGCCGTGTTGCCCTTTCCTTTCCTTCAAGTGATTGGCCCCTCTGTGAGTTCTGGTGGTTATAACCAGATTTAAGATTTAGATGCAAATCACAAATTATGTGAATGGCATGTCATTGTACTTTGATTTGCTTGAAGTGTTTGTTTTGGAGCTTTGAATTAGTTTATGCAAAAGAAAACCTATATGTGCCTGAGTAGCTGTGTACGTGTGTAATTGTGTAGCTGGGGTTTGTCAGTATCAGTGGAATGGAAAGGAACTCAATGTGGAATTTATCCAAAACTGGATTCAGATTTTTCATGTGCTGCCTATATACTGGAAATTCATTTGCTGAGTTCAACAATGAATTAATCACCTTACAGTTTAGACCCAGAATAGTTTTACTTTAGATAAAACCTATGAGTACTGTCTCATAAATACATTAAGCACTATCACTCTTGAAAACAAGGACTGTCCATATTGATTTTCTTGACTATTCATAATGATTCTGTGAACTTTCTTGTTAAGTTCAGTTTTCCGTAAATCTCATAGGTCTCAAAAATATGAAGCTATAGGAACAGATAAAGCTGACATGGGCCTGCTGGAAGGAGCGGGCTTAATTTTGCTTACAATGAACTCAGTAATAGCAGTGCTTGTTGTTTTCTGGGGTCACTGTATTTCTCTCACTCCTGGGTTGTTAATATGAACAACAGTAACACTTTAATTTCTATCTTTATAGCATCTTCTAGGCCCCATCATGGACTGTGGCGATGTGGAGCACTACAAACAGATAACAAAGTCTAGTATTTAATACGTTGTGTCTTCTGGATTGCAAGGGCTTTCAGACAGCGCTTTCTTTTCCTGTTATGTATAACTAGAGGTCTTGAACCTTTTGGACTCTTTTTCTATAGTGAATATTAAGAAATAACATAAATGAAATAATTCTTCATATGCATTTGATCAGAGTTGAGAAAACATAACCAAAGTGTTTTCTCCGTGTGTTCTCATTTCTTACAGTGTTTTGTGTGACAGCATCTTGTTCTTCTACTGCACTGTGTATGTAGCATCCATGGTGGATTCTCTTCCTCTTAGTGATAAGCACAGTCAAGAGACACAAATCAAATTCATTCTTAGGACAAGAAAATCAACTGTTTTCAAAGTTTAAATTCAGAGATATAAGAGCTTTCATTTCTCCCTTTCCTTTCCCAGTGTCTTCCAGCATTCACTTGACATGAATGCTGGATGCTTTTTCTGTGGAGTGGTGTGGAGAATGGATTTTAGTGTTTTGATTTTGAAGTCTTCTCTTACTGTGATGCTCCCTCACAATGCTAGTCACATATTCCTGACAGTGCATCGAAAATAGCACTGAATTTTATCTTGCCATTTTAATTCAAAATGCATATGTTCCTGTACATGCTCTCACCAGTCTCAGAGACCAGAGGGAGCCTGAAAGGGAAGGAGCCTGCCTCAGTGCTTGGCCTCCTGCCACAGCAGTGTGTGCAGGGCTGTGCAGGCACAGCTGGAAGAATGAGACACACGAACTGCTGTTGCCCATACAGTGACTGTTCTGTGAATAAATAGCTTGTCAATCTGGCACTTTAAACAAGCACTTTCTTCTTTTTTAAGCTAGCTTTTTGACATTTTCCATTAAGCATACTGTAATAGAAAAGATGAGTAGAATTTTTCTACACCTTAGGAATAGCAACCTGTCTGCTTAGCATGGAGGACCCTCTCTGTGCAGTGACTGAGAGCTTTATGCTGTGCTGAATTACTTCTCAAGGTTAGATTCCAATCGCGCTCGCTGCTGTACCTGCCTTGCTCTCTCAGACTGCCTTTCTCTGTGAGTAGAGCCATAATGCAGCCAGGAGGTAGCACGCTTTTTGGCGTGAGCTGCGGCTGCACAGTGAAAGCATGTTGTACCAAAGCACTCAGCACCACTGTGTGCTGACTGCAGCGTGTTTCCAGCAAAGGTCACACGCCCAGCAGTGAGCTCTGCAGCTGGGGCTCCTCAGGTAGGGGCTCTGCTGCCTTGTCTGCTCTCAGAATGCACTGAAGTGCATCAAGGCGCGTTAGCCCTGTGCAAACACTGTGTGTGCAGGGGACTTAGGTCTGCACCAGTCCCTGTGCACGTGGACACACAGGAATTACAAAATACAGATTGTCAGACTTCAAATGAAAGTGCACTGCCTAAACATAAAGTTTTTTTTTTAAAAAAAAACTTTCTATTTATATAGTAACTTATAATAGGACTCTTTTGTCTATTTAGTTAATGGGTCATTAGAATAAATTTTGGCCTAACAGATCGAATACTTGTGTAAATATTTGCTTGAATAAAGACGTGCATATACAAACAAGCATAGTGCGTGTGCATAAATGCACATGAGCATGCAAAATAGTTCAGCTCTTCTCCCTTGCTTAAAGCTGTTTTGAAAGTCAACACATCCATTAATTATTGTCAAAATACTTAGATCAAATTGTAGTCTGCTACTGCTTTTCTTTTTTTTATCCTTCTGATATTTAGGTTACTCAAGCACAAAGTCTGTCTTTGGAAGCCCGTTAAATAAACTACAGAGGTAGCATAGTGTTTCCTAGCAACATCATGTCTGTAACAGTGATGCCTGCTTCCCTCTTTAAGCTAAAAGCAAAGTCATGTCCATTAATCCCCAGCTGCACATAAACTTCTCAGAGATTTTGCTAGCTCCCTACTGTTCGTGTTTTCATCTTGCTCATATGATGCAAAGTAAACTGCTCCTGTGATTTAATTCTCTTCAGTGCTTCAGTACAAAGCCAATCTTGTGTGTATATTCACAATTACTGTTTGTTTCTCATATAAAACGAATAATTTTTTCTCCAGTATGATGCCTCCCCTCAGACGTTTATCATTTTGGTCATTCAAACAACCTGACAAGCCAAAGAGATAAAATAAATGCCTTGAAAATATATTATCTGAGTTGAAAAACAAGTGCATTTTCATAGCTAGGGTATGTAATGCCAAAATAACCTTTCATTTAAGTGAAGGGAGAACTGTGGTTTTTAGTACACAGTAACAGCACTGAAAACTCTTAGGATTTGTTTCTGTCTTTTGACAGCTTTCTCTGTAGAATGTACTGAATGATCTTGATCGTGTTCATGGAGATCTGGTGTGTTGCTTGGAGACATTTGGTAGAGATGGAGCTGCTGTGCCAGTGCTAGCAGTGGTATGGGTTTGGGCACCAAGCAGGACGTGTGGAAACTTTGATTGCTGTTATCTATAGACAGTCTTCTCCATGGGACAGCTCAGGTCTCTGTCTTAAAAATTTAATAACTCACTCTGAATTTCTTAGGAGCCCAATAAGGTAAAGTAAGAGTGAATGCTTACCTCTAGTGATACCAGTGGTGAACAGCAGGGATGCAAGGCACCTTGCTTTCCCAAAAGGGAACCTCCCACAGCACTGTGCAGACCAGTTTGGGGTCAGAAGAACTGCTCTCTAGCATCACCTGATCATAGCAAGGGCTACCAGGAGTAGGAAGGGAGCCAAATTCAGAGCTTTGACTTTTTGAACAGGTTGACAGAAATGCAGTTGTAGAAGCCATAGCAGGCTAAATGAGTCATTTCTGGAAGGCTGCTCAACCTCTCAGCACTAGCTGTGTAAGTTTGACAGTTGTTCTTGTTCCTGGTCACCTGCAGAGACCGCAGGTTGCAAAGGTGACTTGGTCTTTCTCCAGTGCTGCATATCTGAAGTGGTGCTGCTCAGACAAAGAGAACAGTTATTTGCTTTCAGGATGTTTCCCAGTGCTGCTTTCCTTGCTTATGCCTGATGAAAAGGGTGAGGGTTAGGGTTAGGGTTAGGCCGCCTCATTCCCTAAAATGCCTGGGGAAGGGAATGGAGCACTTCATAGTCACAGCTTGGGGTCACAGTGGCAAATGCAAAGGACTGTTCCAGCTGGACAATGAGACCTGAGAGTCTGCAGGAGGTCCCTTCAGTGACCCATTGCTGGTACTGAAAAGGAAATGGATAGAGTATGAAGCTTTGTGAGCTGTTTTGAGATGAAATTTACTGCCCAAGACGAAAAGCAATGAGAGACATGTTACGTGGTGGCTGTATAGATACCTGGAAGGATGAGACTGTATCTCCTAACTAGATGTGAGAGCTTGAATGATTGGCTTCCAATATCTATTGTCAGAGTGGCAACACAGCCTTCTGCTCCCGCTCAGACTAATTAGAAGGGATAGGAGAGGTCCGCTGCAGGACTCTGAAATCTTCTTTCACATCTGTAGACTTGTGTGGATTGGATGTGGTGTATCTGGAAGGTTATCAAGATCTCATTATCTTACAGGCTGGAATTTGATTTTCTTGCCCTTCATTCCAAAGGGATGCTCGGTAATATACAGAGGCATCTCCTGAGAATAATTTAGTTGCAGGAAAAATAAAAAGCAGTCAAGTTGTTCTCTTGCCTGTGGACATTCTGTTGAAGTATATAAGCACCTCAGCAAGTGAACGTTTTTGTTCCCCATTTAATTTTTGCTGGACGGTAAGGCACATAGTTCCAATAGCCAATTAGAGACATGTATCTTTTGTGAGTTATCTCTTCTAACTTGTCTTTCAGAAAGCGTGGCAGGTTGCATCATACTGTTCAGTAAACTCAGTGTTAAATAAATAGGTCTTTTTAAGTGATTGTTGAAAGAGGAAAATATTTTCAGTATCATTTACTGAAACTTTGCACAAAGAAAGCTCTTGAGAATTAAGCAGTGCACAATATAAACGGCACCTGAGCACTGAAGTGCTTGTTTCAGAAGACATTCCCTCTCACACAAACACACAGAAGGAGAAAAAACGCGATCTTGCCTGCAGACTGCTGTTTCTATCTACTGCCTTTAACTCCAGATGGGAACATTTACAGGGCTCTTGGAACATAGCTGCTGTTAGGGCTCATCTTCCCATCAGGCTTGAGCTAAGTCCCCACTTTTCCAGGCTGTCCCTTTTTTTACCTTCCTTCTCCACACTGCAGTCATGGCACTGGAGCAGGGCAAGTGTTTGTAGCACCAGCAAGAGCAAGACTTTCTGTATGCACAGTAATATTGTCAGCAGTGTGAGTGTGAGTGTGAATAAGCCTGTCTTGTGCTTACCTGTCTCGTTTCTTCCCCCAGATGGCTGCCCTGACTTGTGCAACGGCAATGGGAGGTGCACACTGGGCCAGAACAGCTGGCAGTGTGTTTGCCAGACCGGCTGGAGAGGGCCTGGATGCAACGTTGCCATGGAAACCTCCTGTGCCGATAACAAGGATAACGAGGGAGGTGAGCAGAAGTCTTCCAATTCCCCGTCCCTAAAGAGCAGAGGGTTATCCGTACTTTCTTCGTGAGTCATTTTACTTCAGAAGGAGTTTGGCTGTCATTACCATCAAGTGTTGTTGTTTCCTTCCTTTTGAAACAAACAAGGCTGAGTGCTGTGGCCTTGCAGAGTGCAGTTCTGTTGGAGTCCCACTGCAGCCCATGGCGTTTCATGGGTGCTGAGCACAGACCCCTGGGACAGAACTTCTTCCTGCAGGCTCCTGGCACGCATGCAGTGCAGAACAGCTTACTGTGCCTGTGTGCACAAGCATAGCAGCTGATTTAGCAGGATAGTTAGGAACATTTTTGTAGCGCTGTGCTAGAGGCCAGGGTCATACTCTTGTGTGCACAGCCCGTGTAAGTCATTGCAGCGTGCTGTCATATTTCACAGCTCATACTGCAGAGCTGAGTGAGTTGTGCTGAGCGGTCATATATGGTACGGTTCTGAGATCCCCGTTCAGATTTCTCTCCTTTATCAGGCAGATCTTATTCTGTATTTGCCTTTAGTTTATCTCTTTTTGTAGAGCATTCCACTTTGTACTCGATTATACCGACCTCAAAGCAGTTTTGAGAAGTTGTGTCATTTAAATAAGACTGCTTGGTAAACTGTCCCCTTCACCTCAAACAGCTTCTTGTATGTCTCATTACAGTGTCTTTAGAAAGTCACCATAGATTCTTTTCCACTTGATTCTGCTCACCATTAAAAATCAAACATGAGACACAGCTTTTTTCCTTGGGACTCTTTCACTTTTCTTTGACCAACAATTAAAGAGTGCATCTGTTGTTTGCTGATTAATAAATGTTTTACTTGTGATATTTCTTAAAACTGCAGATAAACATTTGACTTATTTTAATGATCGCTTCTAAGGTAAATTTGTGTTTTAATTTTATATAAAATTGCACTGTGTAGAAATGGTTCATAACTCCCAAACTGAGGCAGCATGATTTTAACCACACCTGGATATCAGCTGCTAGGTCTAGTCTGTAAATTCCCCATCAGTTCCTCGGTTTCATGTGATCAGTACTGACAGGAATATTTTGAAAGAACTAGAGCTGATTGAATTTCCGAAAACTGGAATCTGTTTTATTGGCATTACCGAATTGTTACTTCTCTGTAAGAAACAGAATCAAACTCCAAGTTATTATTTGGAGTCTGCTTCCTTACTTTGGTCCTTTAACTAAACAAGAAAACACACTGAGTGTATTAGTGTGCAGTGTAAGAAACTAAAAGGTTACTTGCTAATTGCTTATGTTTGCAGCTTTCCTAGCTTTGAAGATTATAAAGACAAATTTGTAAATGAGTGCACCATCATATTTTGCTTCAAACAAGGAGTTTAGAAAATATTACTAGAAATACTGAGATAAGGTGTCTAAAAAAGTACTAAAATATATCCATATGGGGAACAGCTTGTTTTCTTATTCCAGGACAATATTCTGCATTTGTGAAACAGAAAGGCGTGTGGGAAAAATTATTTGACTACTGAGGTCATTCAGCTGTTCCTCCCAATTTAAAATTGCAGAATTCTAAAACTTAATTTATGAAAGAGAAATCTCTGACTATATAGAGTACACATACCATACAACAGACCTATAATATTGATCAGCACCACCTTGCAAGATGCGTGGTTTCTTGTTCACCACGGTCATACCTGAAGGAAAACTGTAGTGGAACTGAATAGCAGAATAATTAAGGGGAGAACTCCTAAGAAGTTCTCAGCGCTTGCAGGTTGAAGTTAAGGCCTAGAGAGACTGCTGCTCATTGCTTCTTGAGGGGGTGTACATATTCTGAACATCTGCATCCTTTTCAAGGTCTCAGCAACCTGAAAAGTCCACTTAGCCATTTTCTCATGGGGATTTTATGGTAAAGCCAGAAATGAAACCCTTATCTCCTGACCCTGACATCAGTGCTTTAATCTAGAGATCAGTATTGGTCCCTAGTAGTATCATCCTTGTTATGTTTCTGTAGAGCTTTTCCATAAGAGAGCTTAGAATCTGTTCCACACCTGTCCAGTGACCTGTTTCTTCAAACACCAGCAAGGTGTATGTTAATAAATTAAAGCTGTTGGATTCAGGCACTGTGTGCATTGGTGGTCAGTGAGCTGCACTGCACTACTCACCTGTCTTTCCAGTACCTCTGTGATTTTTGCTCTTGCAGTTTGATTACATTCTGGGTTTCAGATTTCTTTAAGATGGCCTGAGACCCTCCCCAGCATTCTCTGTAAGGACAGACGCATTGTCACTCCTATCAGTGTGTTAATTGCTCAGTCACAAGTGAGAGCTGCAACCAATCTCAAGACTGAAAATAACTTGCATCCCTTAATACTCAGAGTGAGGTTGTGCCTTTGCATTAAGCTGCACTACGCTGTGTGGGTCTGGTTCACTGCACATCTGGCAGGAGCACAGCCAGTGACCTCTATGTTTATTGGTACTAACTCGGGGAAGACCACAGGAATGTGCAGGAATGGAGAGGAAGGAAGGGATGTGTGCAGTGTGCTTTAACATGCACCTATATGTAATTGTGACTGTGTCTAATAAGAAACAAATACAATTTTTTTCATTAGATGGAGCTGTGTTGGAATCAATTTTAAAGATTCAGTTAATTACTGGAACCCCAACTTTCACATCAAATGCAAGTTTACTGACTGCTACAGAAATCTCTTCTCCGCACTAATTCTTTTCATTGAAACTCAGCGCAGCTTACTTGCAGCCAAATGCTGAACTCATTTACTGCTTTGTTAACATCTTTGCTCTGTTAACATGACTGAGTAGTTCTGGAGCTGTACTGAGCACACACAATAGTCTTTCAGATGAAAGCAGGGTAGCTAAAGCCACAATATTTTGTCTAAAGGAGCAGAGGTGAATATCTGTCTTTCTCTATCCATTTCATATTGCTAAAATGTAGTTGTTGCTACTTGTTTCAGAGTGTCACTGAAATAGAACAGTAACTTTTTGTCTACTGTTGTTCCCCGTGTGTCTATGGATTTAACATATTTTGGTGCTTTTTCTCTGTTCAACCATTCTTATTGTGACTATCTATCTCACAGTCGGATTCAAAGGCCTTGGACCAAGTCTTCATTTCAAGGATGTCAAGATGATCATAGCCACTGACTCCAAAGGGACTCAGATTTGTCCTGTTTTGTCTTATTATGTGCCACAATGTGCATTACAAACCATAGTTCAAAAAGAAAAAATGAAATATCATACTTAATATTTTCTTTCAATTTTAGATTAATGCCCCTTAGCTGGTTTGTTTCTAGAAGTGGCAGCTATTGAGACTTACAAATCTTTGTTGTATATGAGATGTCGGTGCGTATTACTCATATAGATAAAACAGGATTCCAGAGGACAGTGTCCAGAGCTGTTTTCTCCTCTCAGAGCTGTTCAAGTAGAGTTGTGCATGATCCGAGGCAGCACAGGAAACGTCACTTGTGTTTGTTCTTACCAGCACATCTAGAGAAGTACTTAATTGTGTCTGGTCTTCATTATGAAGATGTTTACAGCCACCGTAGGATACTTTGCTTAAAAAGATTCAGAGGGTCTTGTTTGTTCCTTTGTTTTTAAGTCAGAAATCTAACCAAAAGGTAACGGTGGGTGGGGTTTTTTTTTTGGCACTGACTCACTTTTAAGATCTTGTTATATTGACAAATGTTTATGTTTCTTCTAAACATGCTTGAGTTATGCAATTTACTCACTGTGACCACTTCTAAATCGAATCCCTTTTCTTAATCGGTCCCTCAGTAGTCTAATAGTTATTAAGCATCTTTTGGAGGGATTTGAAACTGCTTAATTTGATGACCTATAATTGTGATTACAATGTATAATCCCCCCAGTAGACTTGTATAGCTCACTTAATTCACTGTAGACATATTTTAGAAAATTAAGGGATTAAAAATGGTATTTCGAGGAATGGGAGGAAAGTACATTACTTATTAAATACATATTTCTTTAACTTATTGCATAAGGAAATCCCTGTAGGAGCGTATTTATACCCATCTTTTTACGCTAACTACTTCATAATAATTTGGTGGTTCCTGAATCACATAATGCCTTTAACCTCTCAGAAGAGTCTTCCTAAATTGTGTTTATTTAACCTTAAACCTTCCATTGCCTCAAGGAAAATGGACAACCTTAAGCAAGATAAAAAAAAGTTTCTTTTTCTGAAGAATATTTTACTAGACGTTGGAAGCAGTTCATACAAGGAGCTCACTTTTGAGATCCCTTTATCCTGATCTCAGTGAGATAACCCACAAGAGGTATTTAAGGAAGAGCTCTGCAGGAGCAGCCTTGTCAGGAGCCTCGTATCACCCACTTGAGTTGCTCTTGCTAGGCTTTTCTTTTTCTCCTACCTTTTTCATCCTTTCAAAATTATCATACTGCTATTTGTAATTTTTATTGACAACTCATATAAATGATGTTATCTCAGAGAAAGAAAAACAGAAAACTACCAAAATTTTGCTAAATTGGCTTATTTAACATTTGACTGGGATGGAGAGAAAAGACACAGGAAGGTAAAAAAAAAATAATCTGTAAAAGGCTTAGACACTTTCATTGCTTGTATCATTTCACAGTTTGCATTTCTCCCCAGAATGTAATTTTCTAATTATCTGGACTACAGTTCAGAAAGGGAAACAGCCAAAACATTATAGAATGCTAAGGTAAAAAGAAAGAGAAATTGTTTGTTTGTGATGTGAAGTGGGACATTCTTTTTTTTTTAAATACTTTTAACTTATTTCCATTTGGCTTTGTAAAGAGAGTTGTGCATATCTCAGAAGACAAATTTTGCCCTTCAGTTTGCTACTATATAGCTGTAACAACTCCAAGAAATACAGTTGGCAGTAGTTCTGTTTGGCACAAAACATTAAAGATAATGAATGAGAGAAAGCCAGCTATCCGCTACAGTATGAATCTTCTTCAATTCAAGAGAAAAATGCATTCCCAGTGAAGTTCACTGTCAGGACAGTGCACTT